TCAGTTCTGCCGGAGTCATGTCAAACAGGTCTCCCTTTTTGCTACAACTCGCTCCTGACATGAAGTACTCCTTTCATATACAATACAATTCATTCATTATATTAATTATGTGTTCATTAATTAATTGTTATACAAAACTAATACATACAGTGTGCGCGCCCTGACTGTCCTGTTAGGCATAGCAATGCAAATTTAATTAGAAACCAATGAATATAAAAATGTAAAATCTTTGTCAACTAATGTTTACCTCATTATCTGTGGATCGATTGGAATCGCATTCCCGAGTACTATAGCGGCTATACTTTGACACATAATAATCAATATCACGACAACATCGTTGACTGCAATCCCATTTCCGTTTATAATTATTACTCGATGAATAACAGCTTATTTTTAATCCCTAAACACAATTTATTCAACTTTAAGTTTTTGAAACTTTTTACCGGTAATAAGGTATATCATGGTGATGTGACATCACTGATGTCTATATATTTATACTACAGGTAGTATTTAACAGGGAAAGTAGCGGGTGGTACCATTCACAGTGTGAATTTCACACTTATTTTTACACGTTTTTTGTGCATGTTACAATATCATAATGTACTGTATTAAATTAATAATTAATGAATGTACATGTAAACTAAACTCGTTCAATGTCCTTAATAATGTTATAATGATCCCAATTTATGTTTAAATGTTTGAAATTCTTGTTTATTCTAGTACTTGCCTAAACAGTGTATTTGTTTTAAGAAAATAATAATAAAATAACCTTGCACATTAGATTGAAGGGTAATGTTTACTATTTATGTATTTATAAACATTTTTATTAGTATTTTACAATAAACACAGTATTATAAATGAATCAATAAGTGATAAATAAATATGCATTTTATAGGAAGTGATACTAAAGGGTGTGATAATGAATGAAATGTAGTGTAGTGTCCAGGTAAGTGAGGTAAGTGTATGTGTTTGTGGACAATACTTACATCGATTCTCTTGCGATGTTTGACCTCATGGTTCCTCATTGTGAAGTACTCGAGGGCCTGACAGTAGTGTTTGGCCACCTCTTCACTCGAGGCGTTCATTAGGCGT